GCTGAGCACATATTCAAATTTACTTCTGTTCTCTCAGAGAAGATACGTATCTACTACATCTGCCTAGTGCACTCTCCTAGAGCTGAAATAGCTTCGTGAGACTACAAAAGCAATTCTTGTTGATATGCATGAGATTAAAAATTGCCTCTTTTTAATGAAATTGAAATGAAATTTGTGTTTTGTGTGGAAGTGGTGATAGCAGAGGTTCAATAGAAAGGTAATAAAAACTCCCTCTGTTCATTTCCGTCTTGGTGACTGTTATGAGTTACTAATAGGATGCTAATTGCTGTGATCAAGGAAAAAAAGGAAAAGAAATGGGTTTCGTAATTAAAAATTAAATCCAGTGGAGTGGCAGAGGTTGGTCTGAGCTGCACTGTTGGATTTGTAGCCTGGGGAAGCGCTGTCAGTTAATTGCTGTTAATAAAGCACTAACCTGCTCTGTATTTTATATAACCAAAAAGCTTGAGGACTAGATCCATTACAGAGCATATTCCTTTTTAAATAGCTGTAAAGTTACAACATTGAATCACAGAATCCCAGACTGGTTTGGGTTGGAAGGGACCTGAAAGCTCATCCAGTTCCAACCCCCCTGCCAGCAGCAGGGACACCTTCCACTAGACCAGGTTGCTCAAAGCCTCATCCAACCTGGCCACAAACACTTCCAGGGAGGAGCAGCCACAGCTTCTCTGGCCAACCTGGGACACTGTCTCATCACCCTCACACCAAACAATTTCTTCCTCACATCTCAGCTCCATCTCCCCTCTGCCACTTTCAAGCCATCACCCCTTGTTCTCTCACTCCCTGCCCTTGGCCAAAGTCCCTCCCCAGCCTTCCTGGAGCCCCTTCAGGTACTGGGAGGCCACTAGAAGGTCTCCCTGGAGCCTTCTCTTCTCCAGGCTGAACAGCCCCAACTCTCTCAGCCTGTCCTCACAGCAGAGCTGCTCCAGCCCTGGCATCATCCTCGTGGCCTCCTCTGCCCTGGCTCCAGTAGCTCCATGTCCTTGTGCTGTTGGTGGCCCCAGCACTGGAGGCAGCACTGCAGGTGGGGTGTCAGGAGAGCGGAGCAGAGGGGCAGAATCCCCTCCCTCCACCTGCTGCCCACGCTGCTCTGGGTGCAGCCCAGGACACGGTTATTGGCCTCTGTGCTGCCAGCGCACGTTGCCGCCTCATGTTGAGCTTCTCATCCCCCAGCACCCCAAGTCCTTCTCTTCAGGGCTGGTCTCAAGAATCATATCATAAAATGTAAATGAATGTATTATAACCAAGTTGTCCTGCTTACATCCCTGCAGCTGAACCTTCTGTTTGTGTGGATGGTGAAGATGTGAAACTAATATTTTGCCTAAGCCATGCTCTTACCATGTGTCTTCTATTTCTTGTTTTTATTCAGTTTTCATTTTCTCCACCTGGAGAACTGTGTGTAATGAGGATCCCAGGGTGAGAGAAATGCCCATGTTTTGAAAGGACTTTGCTCTTTGGTGCCAGTGGTACAGAACTGGAGTTCACTGTGAATTTACAGAGCAACGTGTTAATTTCAAGGCAGTTTGTCCCTCCAGCAAAATTTCAAGGCTTTTGGTTTGGTGGGATTCATAGGATTCAGTTTAAATGTTTATTCTCCCTCTTTCCAAAGCAGAAATATTTCACAATTTACAGTCTTTCATGAAATTACAACCAACAAATGATCTTACCACAGCAAAGGGTTTTTATAAGTCTGTCTTGATAGGCCACGTTGTCTTAGGAACTTTGGGTGAACAAATTGGAGGATGCTCAGCACTGTACAGATCACAGATCTGATCACAGGCAAGCTCTTGCCTTCAGAAACCATGGGCTTTTCTTAGGAGAATGAGGTATAGAAAGTACATTGGTACATGAGGATAAAGTCAAGGCTGGCTGTTGGGTGGCATAGCAATGAGAGAGACTGATCAACCTGTGATAAACATCTAAATCATAGAATCATAGAATGGTTTGGGTTGGAAGGGACCTTAAAACTCATCCAGTTCCAACCCCCCTGCCAGCAGCAGGGACACCTTCCACTAGACCAGGTTGCTCAAAGCCTCATCCAGCCTGGCCTTCAACACTTCCAGGGAGGAGCATCCACAACTTCCTTGGGCAACCTGTTCCAGTGTCTGACCACCCTCACAGTGAAGAACTTCTTCCTAATATCTCATCTAAACCTCCCCTCTTTCAGCTTAAACCCATTTCCCCTTGTTTTGTCATTAGTTGTCCTTATGAAAAGTCATATACTTTCATATACATATAAACATATCACTTTACTTGTTAAGTCATAACAATAGTATCAAGGTACAACAAGTAAAGAGTGATGACTATAACTTTTTTGCCATTTAAAACCTGCTTTCTATTCATTTTGGTTAGTATTTCAGGAATTTCTCTTCTCTTGCTTGTGGTTTTTAATTTATTTTATTTTATTGTATTTTTTTTAGAAGGCAATTTACCTTTCATCAGATTCAACTTCTACAAGCAGCAGTTCTTGGGGGCCAAGCTCTGCTCTTAGTAACAAGCGACGCACACGGATGCTAAACAAGGGTATCCAAGCAGGTGAGATGTTCAATCCCAGACTTGTCTTTTTTATATTTGCCTTTCATCTCTTTGGAAACCATTCTCCAGTGTCTGTTGCATGTTTCTGGTGGTGGGGATGTACACACAGCATTCTTCAAATGTTTTGAGAGAGAGATGTTATGTTCTAATTAAAATGAGCCATTTAATTTCCTTTCTTGGTCTGCTTGAGTAGTAGCCAGTTTTCTTACTTAGAAGTTTATATCAACCCAACCTAACCTAATAGTAAAGGTAGATTAACTGTATTTTTTTGTTTTCTCCACAAGACATCTGTCACACAATGTATTTTGTAGGCATATGGTATTTCAGAAGGCAACTGCATTTCATATTCTTCTTGGTAATATTTTGGATGTTAGATTCTATTTAAAACAGAAGCTGATCCTGGACTGGTGGAATTCTGCATTTGGGTTTTTCTGGTGGCAATTATCCATTTCTTCATTAATTTACACGCTAAATTCATAGAATCATAGAATGGTTTGGATTGGAAGGGACCTTAAAGCTCATCCAGGTCCAACCCCCCTGCCAGCAGCAGGGACACCTTCCACTAGACCAGGTTGCTCAAAGCCTCATCCAGCCTGGCCTTGAACACTTCCAGGGAGGAGCAGCCACAGCTTCTCTGACCAACCTGGGCCAGTGTCTGACCTCCCTCACAGTGAAGAATTTCTTCCTAATATCTCATCTAAACCTCCCCTCTTCCAGTTTAGAGCCATTTCCCCTTGTTTTGTCATTAACTGCCCTTATGAAAAGTCCTTCCCCAGCTTTCTTGTAGCCCCTTCAGGTACTGGGAGGCCGCTATAAGATCTCCCTGGAGCCTTCTCTTCTCCAGGCTGAACAGTCCCAACTCTCTCAGCCTGTCCTCACAGCAGAGCTGCTCCAGCCCTCACATCATCCTGGTGACCCTCCTCTGGACGTGTTCTAGCTGGTCCATGTCTTTCTTATATTCCCATCATCAGATTGAGGAATGGCTTTGTTTTATTCATCAGATACATCAGTTATTTATTTATTACTACTATTTTGTCACATGCAGGTGGATTGAATCAGAAAAGTATTTTCATGGCTTGTTTTCAAGACCACATTCTGACTTTTTGAATGTTTGTTGACTCCTTCCGCTTTCTGTTAAATATTTGTGGTGGTGGTTTTGTTAAATATTTGTAGTTCTGTGAGCAAACCAGTCTTCTATGGCTAAAACAGAGTTTTGGGTGGGACACACTGTGAAAATTAACAGGTCTAGAAAAACTTGCAGTTCCATTGTCCAAAATATAAATCGATATGTGGACCTACTATTGGGTCTTTCAGCAGCAGATTTGAAATTGACTCAGGTTGAAGTTGACCCTGAAAGTCAACTCAAGTCCCCAGTAAGGGATGTAATTGGTTTAATTCCCACCCTTTATATATATATTTACATTTATGTTTATATATGCTTGTTTTGCTTGTAGTGCTTGGTTTACACCACTTAAATGTTACTCAGATTATCACCTAGTAACAATCTTGAGTCACTGTAAACTCTCCTTGAATTGGAAGTGGGAATACAAAAGATTTTCCCTTTTGAAGGTGGGATAATTCTGTGATTCTGTGATAAATAAAGTGATCCTTCAGCTTCAAAGTAAAAATTGAAGGTCACCACCAGAACTATGCAAGTCACACGTGCTGATGTTGAAGTACTTCCAGCTGCTCTAGAATAAGATGTTACTGCTTCATTTTCTTGTACAACCTGGTGTAGGTGGCAGGGGGGTTGGACTGGATGATCTCCTGAGGTCCCTTCCAACCACCACCATTCTGTGACTCTGTGATTTTCAACTACAGGAGACTTGGAGATTGTGAACAGTGCAACTAAGAAGAACACTCGAGATGTTGGTGTGACTTTTCCTACCCCAAGATCTAGCCAGCTAAATCAACGGCCCCAGGAACCCTGGCATCATGTTGATGGTATTTTTGGAGATTCAGATGGTCTGGTCACAGATCAGCAGACAGCAGGAAGCAAGGGTAAGCAGAAAGGACAACCAGGCAATTTTTTCATGGAGAAAAGGATGAAAAGGAGCAGGCTGCATTTACCACAAGGTCAGTCCAAAATACACTTTCTCTGCAGCCCAGAAAAGCTGTACATCTCAACAGCAACCAGCAAAAGATGTGGGGAGGATTAGTTAGGACACAGAGTAGTCTGTCACTAGTACAGTCAGTTCTTACTCAGTATTTAATCAATGAAATTTAGATAAAACCCACTGTGTCAAGTGAGCTCTCTGGTGCTCTGTTATGATGGTGTTTTCAATCAAGTTGTTAGGTGCAACCTACCATCTAGCAATGAATAAAATAAGGGAAGATGAATGAGATGGGGATCATGTAGATACTTAATTTCGATGTTCAAAGTATAAAAAGTTCTGTGAAGCTCTGAGTAAATGGTCACTAGAAGTTGTACTTACTGTTTCATCTTCTGAGGCTTCAAAGAACAAGTGTGGGTTTTTAATTTCCTGTCAGTCTTCACCATGTCATGATTAAATGTTTAAAAATGTTTTCCTTAGTCATCATTGTTGTTGGAGGGACAAATCATTCTGTCTCATACCCATTTCATTTAGAAAATTTAGAATATCTCTTCAGAGTACTAGCTGATATATTCAAATCCTTTTATGTAGGTAAACTGTGAGTAATCCAATTCTTGTGTAAGTATTTAACATTTAGAAGATGGAAAGCATTTGATCTTCAAAAACATCTATAAAAAGCCATAGGGCTTAGGACAGCACAGAGGCTCCTTAAAAATGTGTAATTCCTAATAAATAAATATCCTTTCTATAAAGAGTGAAGCTTGCAAACTAAGGCATTTTGTACTTTTTCAGAAGTGTTGTTTGATAAATGTTGCTGGTTTCCTGACACTTGGCAAAGGAATTCTTTTGAAACTGCCAAAGGTGTCTGCTACAAAGTCCCACTGTTATTAAACTGAAGTGAATATTTATTGCAGTGTTGGGCCACCGACTGGATTTAGTTAAAACCTTGGATATTGTCATGGTTTAACTCCAGCCAGCAACTAAGCACCACACAGCTGCTTGCTCACAGCCCCACAGTGGGACTGGGGGAGAGAATTGGAAGAGTAAAAGTGAGAAAACTCCTGGGTTGAGCTAAAAGCAGTTTAAGAGGTAAAGCAAAAGGCACATGAACAAGCGAAGCAAAGCAAGGAATTCATTCACTACTTGACTCTCTGTAAGCACTTTTCAGCAGTAGTGGAAACATCTCTGCCTTATCAACGCTGTTTTCAGCCCAAATCCAAACCATGGACCCACACTAGCTACTGTGAAGACAATTAACTCTATCCCAGCCAAAACCAGCATAGGCATGGAGATGGGGATGGAAAATAGGCACATGTATTGTCTACAAATCTTTTTTTTCCTCTTCTGTGGTCTTTTAATAGGGATTTCATGGTTTGTCCAAGTAGAAGATTTGAAATCTGAATCTAGGAAAGAAAACCATTCCAATTCGTTTTCTGGTCCTGGTCCTTCTTGGTTTGAACCGTTGACGAACACAAAGCCTTGGAGAGAACCTCTCCGAGAGAAGAATTGGCAAGAGCAGCAGCACAGCAACGTGATTCAGGCAGCAGTTCCAGAAAGAGGTGCTGAGAACAAGTCCTCACGACCATTTGTGAAGCTCACGCTACAGGTAAAGGCACTCTGAGCTGTGAAACTGCTGGAATCTCAGGAGGATTTCAGGAGTAATGCTGGATCTTGTGGAAACACATTTTGTTCTTTTTAAAAAATTATTTATTTATTTTTGTTTCACCTTTATAATCAGTGGAAGTCAATGTGTTACAGATCACTCCTGCTTCAACAAAAACAAAACCCAAACAAAACCAAGGAAACCAATGGATTTGGCAGTCAGTCCTGCTTGGTTATGGTGATCTGGTTTTCCACAATGCACTAATCTGTTTGAATTGATCTAATATTTTAGGACTTAAACCATTTGTCTTCAGGAACTAGAGGGACTGTAGCTGATATAAGCCATAGAATAGAATAATAGATGTGTTTGGTTGGAAAAGACTTTTGAGATCATCGAGTCCAACCGTACCTGTCCACTATTAAACCAGATCTCTGAGCACCTCATCTACCTGTCTTTTAAACACCTCCAGGGATGGGGACTCCACCACTGCCCTGGGCAACCCCTTCCAATGCCTCACAACCCTTGCACCAAAGAAATTCTTCCTCACATCCCATCTCAACTGCCCTGGCCACAACTGGAGCCCATTTCCTCTTGTCCTGTCCCTTGGTCCCTGGTTGAACAGACCCACCCCCACCTCTCTCCACCCTCCTCCAAGGGACTTGCACAGAGACACAAGGTCTCCCCTCAGCCTCCTTTGCTCCAGGCTCAACACCCCCAGTTCCCTCAGCCACAAGGGAACTCAGCACACTTGTGCTCCAGACCCTTCCCCAGCTCCGTTGCCCTTCTCTGGACACGCTCCAGCACCTCCATGTCCTTCTTGGAGTCAGGGGCCCAACACTGAACCCAGAACTCGAGCTGTGGCCTCACCAGCGCTCACCATACTTGCTTCCAGGCAGAAATAATACTGTGTGATGTACATAGTGTGTCATTAAAATGGGCTTTAATTCATGCAGTGCTAGTACTGTATGTGTATGTGAGTATACACACGTGTACACTTTCAGATCAGGTGTGATCACTCAATATCTGTGCAAAAATACAGATGTAGCCTACATAAATATTTTTTAAAAAATCTAAATTAGGAAGTGCTGATTTAGGTTCACTTCAGAAGTTCCTTTAAGCTCAGCTGCATCTGCTGACGTGCTCGGAGACCGCTCTGTGATGGAAATTGAAGTGTGGCGAGCAGAGGTATTAGGAGATTGCTTTTAAAATTCCACTTCTGATCCAAAATGAATTGCTAATGTTGGTGTGCCCCAGGGAGACTGGTGTAAGTTACAGAATCTTTTATGGGCTCAACTTTGTGACCTTTGCTATGCATTTTTGAGAAGAGATTTGTGTGCCTTTTTCTAATTATTTTAGCTTTTTTTTTTCCTGGCCAGTTAGTTTTTGGTTTGTTGACAAATAGCTTGTTAAACAAGGTCTCTGAGGATCTACCCAGCGTTAAGGATACAAGATTTTGTATGTTATACCAAATACTGCTTTGATGGGACTTTTTTTCCATACTTTGGTGATGGTTTTAGATATTTTGATTATTCCTTTCCAGCTGTCTGGCCACTTCAGACTTTGTTTTGTGTCATCCCACTTTAGGAGGCTCTTGCAGTGCACCGTCCTGATTTCATCTCCCGCTCTGGAGAGCGTGTGAAGCATCTGAAGCTTGTAATGGAGGAGAGGAGGATGCAGAATGCACGGCAGTCTGAACAAGAAGAACTGTTTAATCCTTCAGAGAAGAGAAAGGGCTACAGGAATGCAAGTGCAATGCTGTCTGACAGAGGTAATATGACATCACTGCATTACCTAGATCTGCAGTGCTTCAAAGGAAAAGTATGGAACCCACTTTTCTCTTTCACGTATATTTTATTGGACATGATTATTTTCATCCCTAATCCTAAACCAGATTGACATTATAAGGAGTTATTTTTAATTCTTCCACATGACAAGCATGGCAGGAACCTCCAAGTCAGAAACTTACTTGCACAGCCTCAGGTTTCTGACCAGAGTGTACATAAACATGGAGCTTCTACTACTTGACATGCTGACTGTGAGAGCAATGCTAGTGTTTATTGTTGACTGAATGGTTCTTCTCTTGATGTTCTCTAGGAATGAATTAATTTCCACATTATTCTTAAAGGTGTGTGTATTTTCAATAAAAGTATTACAATTAGTTAACATTATTGTCTATAAGAATCCATAACTTTTAAAGGAGTCATTTTGTTGCAGTAATATTCTTCATGAGTAGACTTGATATTAGAATTAGTTAACATTATCTGTAACTTTTAAAGGAGTCATACTGTTGCAGTAATATTCTTCATGAGTAGACTTGTTCACCATTCTTTTATCTCAACATTTTCCATTTAGGTTTTCCAATTAGAGAAAAGAGAAGAACAATTCCAAAGAGTGAAATGGTTCAAAGATCTAAACGGTAAGGTTCAAAAAATTTTGTTTCAAGTAGATAAGTGACCTGAGGAAATGGGTAGGGAGGATGGATGAGTCATGTCTGCAGTCAAAGAACTGGGAGTTGGAGATAACATTTCAGTGCAAGATGTAGGCATCTTATCAGAGGGACAAAGCACCTATTTAGAAAATCCAAGAAACAAGATCATTTTTGAAAAACAATTCCTGTGACTAAACCTGAGTATTCTGCTGCAGTATCTGCCCTCTGAGCACCACAGCAAACTGCACGTACTGGACCCTGACAGGAGAGGAAATGTAGGGTGTGGGCTGCTGGAGCATCTGTATAGTTTTAAACATTAACAAACCAGGTAATTAGTGCAGGAATCACAGAATCCCAGACTGGTTTGGGTTGGAAGGGACCTTAAAGCTCATCCAGTTCCAACCCCCCTGCCAGCAGCAGGGACACCTTCCACTAGACCAGGTTGCTCAAAGCCTCAGCCAACCTGGCCTTCAACACTTCCAGGGAGGAGCAGCCACAGCTTCTCTGGCCAACCTGGGACACTGGCTCACCACCCTCACACCAAACAATTTCTTCCTCACATCTCAGCTCCATCTCCCCTCTGCCACTTTCAAGCCATCACCCCTTGTTCTCTCACTCCCTGCCCTTGGCCAAAGTCCCTCCCCACCCTTCCTGGAGCCCCTTCAGGTACTGGGAGGTCACTATGACACATGAAGAAGTGAGGTGTCCACCAAATGAAAGTAGTAAGAAATAACTACCCTCAAAAGTAGGTTTGAGGTCATCTCAAAGGGATGAGACCTGAGCAATCTGACGTGGTCTTGAAGTTAACCCTGCTTTGAGCAGAAGGTTGGACTAGATGACCTCCAGAGGTCCTTCCCAACCTGTCACACTGATTCTACAAAACATGTACTGGAATATGCAATATATAAAATAAACCCCTTGATATATATGCTGAGAGAGTCCAAAAAGAATATTTTATTCCAGTAGCCTTTGTTATTTAAAGGTATTTTAGGACATTACTAGTGAGTTGGCCGAAGTGGTAAATAAGTCAGTTCCCCAAGGAATGCATCTCCACATGTCTTACCTGAAGTAGAAGGATTTGGGTTCGGGTCACTTGGACTGTGAGATCTGAACTCGTGTGTTTTCAGAAACTCTGATTTCATGGTAAGTCAGCAGGACATCTGTGGAGACTGGTTCAGGCAGTCACACTTGGGGACTCTTTTTTGTTGTTGTTCTTGCTGCTGTCATACTCCAGCTCTCAGTTGGAGCTGAGGAGTAATTTCTTCTGTACCATTCTTTTGAAATCCACACCTATAATGAGTTCAGGAGCTATTTCTTTTCTGTCTGTGAGGATAGAAATGGAATTTCTCATGGCAAATTAGCTAGAGGTAATGAAAATAATTCAATGAATTTACCTACTGTTCTGCATTGCCCTGGTTCTAAGATCTAAGGCAAGAACTTGGCTAAGAACTTGGCTAAGAACTTGTTGTTCTAAACACCTTTATGGTGGGATGATTTTGATCTTTTGTTGAGGAGAGCCATAGAATGGTAAAAACCTTTAGAGAGTGGTGAGATGGTCGCAAAGCAAAACCTCAAAGCTTGGAAGTATCCCTCTCTGTGTCTGGTAACACATACATGGATGTAGCACCCTCTGCTGCCTTCCTGCACAGTGGAAGAGGAGTAAAACAACTGTAAAAATGTGATTGATTTCCTCTTTTCTGTAGCAGTAATGTAGGTAGTGACAATTTTAGGAAAGATGACCTCCTAAGAGGAGCTGCAGAGTAGGAAAATAGGGATACACAGGGAGGTAGGTCACTGGGAGGAAGGAGTGCAGTTGCTTTTTGGGTTTTTTTTTTTTTCCTTCTTTTTTTTTAGTGTGGGGTGTGATTTGCTTGCTCATCAGTTCCTCTGTGAAGTCTGAGACACTTGGTAAACATATAGCAAGGGGGGGAATGTAAAAGCTAAAGATGTGTCTGGCTTTCCTGAGCTGATGCTGGTGAATTGGACAGGAGATAAAATTCAGTACTGAGATTTGGGGTTGATCCTTCCTTTCTCAATTCTGCCTCCTTAGTTATGCATCATTGTACCGCTTCCTATTACTTTGTTTTCCAGCTAAATTATCATCCTTCTCTCCTTTGCAACATGCAAGTGACACCTACTTTGTACTGATATAAATAGCAGAGGTAGAAACTGATACACATTTGCCTCCCTTGCTTCTCTTGCTGGTCTGAAGTATGACCTCTTTTCCTGCTGGAGTTGGTACCAAGACAACTGTCAAAGATGCCTCTCCTGGCTGGTGGGCTGTATGGATTTGCAAAGTTGAGAATGGAGAGGGTTGAAGTACTTTCATAGAATCACAAACTGGTTTGGGTTGGAA